TTTTGGGTTTTTTTTTGCAGGAGTGGTTTTAGGGGGTGTATTAGTCTAGGTACTTTGGAGAAACAAATCCACAGCAACTCATATATAAGAGTTTTATGTAAAGAAAAGGTGCATCACGAAAACATCCCAACCCAATGCTGCCCAAGCCCACAAGTCCAACATTAACCCATTAACCCAACACCAGTCCACAAAGTCCTCCACCTCACAAAACAGAGGCAATGATGCCTAGTGTAGGAGGAAAGCTGAGTCAGTAAACGAATAAGCATCTCAGCACTAGCAGGGGTCTCCACACGGCTGCTTCAGCACCCAGGGCTGCATCGGGATAGGTCCATGCGGCTTCTCCTTGGGGATGTCTTGTAGGACGTCAATCTTGCAAGCTGAAGCAGGGAGCTGCTAAGGCAGCTGCATCCTGGTGCGACCATCACAAAGCAAGAGACCCGAGAACTAGAACGGCCGAGGCTCACCACCCATTTATCCCTCGGCCTTTCAACCAGCACCACATGTGATTATTGGCCAGGCTGGCACAATTAACTAACTCAGGGGGGTATTGGATTTTTCATTTATTTGGTCTGTTCCTGCATTGTTTTTCTTGTATTCATTTAATACTTTGTTTTCCTTGATTTTGTTTGCATTTTCCTTGATCTTTCTCTCAATTAATTGAAGACATTTAGGTGTTTGAATAGATTCAATGGTAGTTTGTCTAAATATCATTATTTTTCATTCCTTGTCAGGTACTTTCAATGATAGTTCTTCCTCTGGAAGAAGTTTTGACTCTGTGATCACTCGTTTGACCCACTCTTGTCTTGTTTGTGTGAACTAAAGTTGTCTCTGACACACAGTTCTTGTGGTGTATTTATATTTAATGGTGATTGTATGATGGCCTATTTTGCCCAAGAATTATTGTGTAGTTTTGTATATGGGGAGCATATTTCATATATCTGTGAATGGGGTAGGTGTGCCACTCATTTCACAACCTTAGCAACACTTAGGACCTTATTACCTTTCTCCTATGTTTGTGAATAAAGGATGGGAGTGTGGGCACATAGAGCACTGAGAGTGTGGTGGGCTGGCATTAGCTGCTGTCTATCAGTGATCAAGCGGTGCAGGAGTGGTGGTATGTCTTGCCCAGTGAATGAGGCTACTTTAGTTGCAAGCATCGCTGGGTGATTTGGGAATGAGTGCTTTCTGGTTGCTACTAACTACTGTAATAGGTGTTGTTGAGATCTTGGAGAAGTGGAGCTTTTTATCAGGCTGTTGCTCCAAATGCGATGTTGCTAGCCAAAATTCAAAATGGTTATGCTGTGTCAGGCCTTTGGACAAGTCTCTGTTCTGTTTGTCTTCCTTTCAGTGTTATGTCTAATTTCTTTTAGTTGGTATTCAGCCCACTTCTTTGTCCTTTCCTTTGAAACTCAGGGTGCCAGGATTATCATCCATGTCTTTCTCATTTGCCTTCCCATGTGTTTGCTCTAGAGTTTTCACATGCCTCACCTTGCGACTCTCCTGTTGTGTGTTCCCTTTCATCTAACTGCTTATCAGACATCTTTGGTGGTAGAGCTTCTGCTTCAGAAGGATTATACCAAACATAGATATATGGTTTCTGGAAGGTTTTATCTACAGAAATCCTTTTAGATACATCCATTATCAGCAGTTTGGATAACAAATCCCTTGCCTGAGTGGACTTAAGTATGTTGTGTTCCAAATCCGCTGTGAAAAGCAGAGGAAAAGTGCCTCAAAGCTGCAACCAGTGTATTTAGTTTCTAAGCTACTTCTGTTGCATCTTCTTGGCTCCGATGATTTGGATTTTGTGTCCAGCATGCTAATGATACTGTGGGCCATTTTAGGATTCATTTCTGAGATCTGATTCAGATAAGGGATAGAGTGCAAGCATATGTTCTAGTCTGAAATTATTTATCTTTGTTTTAGGAATAGGGAAATAATGTCCTCAAATTATCATGTGAGAAATATATTTTCACTTTCATCCCCACTTCAATCACTATGTATTGATATCCACTACTGCCAGTCACACGTGCTACACACTAGGTGTTCAATAAGCACACTCACTTTTCCCACGTATCTTACAGTCTACTGGAAGAGTCACAAATCTGATAGACATGCATCTAAATATATACAGTAACTACCAAATGAGATGGTTAAGAGAATAACAGCGGGGGCCTAAATTTAGACCAGGCAAGGATAAGGGAGTGATGCCACTTTGATATCAATTGACAAATAGGTAAGACCAAGGTGCTATTAAATGTGATTTGGGATTATACTCTTTGGACAATTATTTGATGTCAAGTGTTTTGTTTTTGTTTTCCTTGCTTATCCGATTGCCTTCTAGTGAAATTTGATATTACTGATGCTGTTTAATGAAAATCATATTCCTCTATGCTTCTGTGCCAACTCTTGTTGCCTTCATGCTTATCTGACTACTTTGTAAGTCTCATCTCCAAGATGCTCTTCTTCCTTTCCAACCCTAATGCCAATTCTTTGTCCTTTATATTTTACAGGTTCTCCCTAGGTGATCTCCTATCTTCTTATAGATTCAATTCCTAAATATTCAATCACTTCTGTGATTCAAAAGAATACAAGGAAACTTCAAAAATTCATGGAAAAATGGAATAAACAGATAATGGAATTTTGTCATAAGCTCTTTGAAGTCCCCATATGTTTGACTGTCTAATAATGAGTATCCTTCTGAGTTACATACTCAATTCAATCCAAACTCACTGACATCAAGTTTATTCTGACTAATAAATACCCTATAAGACAGAGCAGAAGTACTCCACAGGGTTTCCAAGGCTGTGCATCTTCACAAAAGCACGGTGCCTGCATTTTTTACCTGCAGTGACTGATGGGATCGAACCACTGATTTTTTGACTAGCAGCCCAATACTTAACACACTATTCTTGCAGGGCTTCTGAATAGCATTACCACCCATCCCGCTAAAACAAAACAATGTCATAAAATCAACCTATGTAGGATTTTTGAGGCTCAAAGACTTTATGGAAGCCGACACCCTCAGCTTTCTCCTATGAAGTGGCTCATGAGTTTGAAGTGAGTTTTGAACAAAAACTTCTATTGCCACCTAAACCTATTCTTGCTATTTGCTATCTTGAGTAATACTGAATGATGTATTTTATCTCAGAAGCTAAAAAAAGATGAACTCTTTCACAATTTCTCCAATACTAATTACCAGATCTCTATTTTTAATGCTGCAACCTTAATTCAGGATCTACTTATGTCTCACATAGTCTGTTCCAAATATTTATCCTTGTCTCTAATTTACACCTACTGTAATTCCTCCTTCTCATTAAAGTTCTTCTAAAACAAGTATTTAGCCATTCTTGGATAGGTCTCCGATACCCACACCTAGAAGAACCAACAACTCCTTTTAAAGGTGTTAAAGGCACTTTACTGTCTACCCTCATTCTTTTAAAGCCTAATTTCCTCCTATACTTTCCTAGTTATTTTTATTATCCTAAATAGCTCACTATTTTTAAAACATGCCATCTATGTTTTGTTATTCTGGGTGCCTATGTGTGTTTCATTCACCTAACAAAAACCCACTGAGCTGCTTAAATATTACCTCTTCTAAATGAACTCATCTACGTTTGACAAAGATAATAATGTTCCCTTACTTGTTCCCATAATACTAAGCTCATAGGATTATTTTAGTAATTAGCCTACAGTATTGTAGGCTTTTTTGTAACTGCCCGCCACTATCAAGAGAGTAGGAACTAAGTCTTATCCACGTTTGGCACAACAGGAATAATATAGTACTGAATCTATTAATTATTTCATTAAACTGTATTTAATTACCAGCCCATTTCTAATTAATCATCTTCCTAATAGTTACTATTTAATAGATTACTATTATGTTCCAGATGCTGTATTAGGCACCATACAAAACCTTTTACAACAACATGAAAAGGCAGCTGTTATTATCTCTAGTTTAAATAGATGAACTATGGCTATGGTGAAATTATTTGCCCACAATTGTCAGTAATTGAGCCAAGATTTGCACCCTGATTATTACAAAGTCCACATCCTTTCTCTATATAGCTCTGATCCCCTCATTAATACCTGAAAGAATGTAAAATCAAAATAATTTATTTTCTGAAAGAAAAGTTATTAAACTAAGCCTTTTAGGACTCATTCACTCATATTTACAAAGCAAAACTATTATAAACCTAAACACCTGCTACATGATGCATTCAAATTAAGAACTCTGAATAAAGAGAACTAACGTTTTAAAATACATTTGATGCCAATGCTGAATATATTTATTTGTGAAATTTGTGATGATATTATAAAAATGTTAAATGTATTCAATCATTTCTTTCTTCAATCTTAATGTCAAAGAGAAAAATGTAATTTTTAATAATAATATCTGATTTATCAGAATCTTGCTAGAATGTTACTTTGATATTGATTTTTCTTTTTATGTCTATGCATAGATCTTTGAACATATAAAATTCACTATGTAATGCAGAACATCTAATTTTTATTGCATATATTCGTAAGGAACACTCAAATAATGTTATTATTTTAAGGATGCATTTTCTAGAACAGGATTCCTTAGTATTTGTGATGCTAAGTCAAGACATTAGTACGGGAATACACTTTATACCTGACTGTATACAATTGTATACTCCACATGCTACTGCTAAAACTTCCTTGGTGATATGTAGAATACATTTTTTAAGAAGATAAATCTAATGTCACCAGCTTATTTATAATTTTCTTTAGTGTTATAATTTAACACTTTAGAATATTCTAGATTTAAGTAAGTAGGAAAATACTCCATCCAGTTGATGGAGAATTAGGTGGGGGGGGGTTTCCTACCTGCATTTAAATTAGAGAGACTGAGTAGACAGAGAGAGGGAGATGGGGAAAGAGAGAGAAGGAAAAGGAGGAACAAAACAAATAAAGCAAAAACTAATAGAAGGGCAAGAAAACCATCCAAAAGGGTTTCCCGTAACCCCATCTGTCCTTACCAGTGCACACAGAAGGTCAACAGCTTCCAAGATCAGTTCCTGGTGACCAATGCGGCTGACACCCAAATCTTCCAGCTCCTGGTGTGTAATGCGCAGCAGCTGGTCCCCGCTAATCTTCTCCCTCTCAAAGTTCTTAATATACTGCTGCAAGCAGTCATCAAGACCTACAAGAAAAAAATATTGAAGACCTGAATGAAAACTGTTTAACCAAACAAATAAGCAGGGACACGGTGGGATTTACCTCTACTATACTCGTAAAACTCTCTCTCTTCCCCCCCCCCCATAATTATGCAGACCTGTTGATCAGGCTATAGATTGAGTCCAGCCATGTAAACTGGGCAGTTACCAGAAAAGTGAAGTTCTTGATTCCAACAAAGAAAGACAGGGAAGTTCATAATGGATTACATTCCAGCTGAAATTATGTCAGAGCAAAAACCTTAAGTAGAGAAATAAGTTTGGGAAAAATAGGGCAAATGTACCTAATGAGAAACAAAGTCCCATTAACACTGACAGAAGAGTGGCATAGTCCTAAAAGCTGCTTGGTTTCTGTTATAAGTCTAGTACCAGGACACATAAAAAGAATTTGAGGCACCTTGAAACCTTTCCATACTATCTTCTTTAGTTTTCATTATCCAATGGTATGTATATTGCTCTCTCTTCTGGTCTCTTCTTTGACCATCCTTTCCCCATTTCTTTTAAAAACATTTTCTCCATGCCTATGTTTCTTAGTCACTCTTTTTAACAAATGTTTTATATATGTAAATGTATATATGTGCATATGTGCATACATACATACTTACATACCTCTAATGTCACATTATTCATAATCAATGACCTCATAATATTTTAGAGTATTTGTCTTATTTAAAAGGTTGAAATCAATTTGATCAAATATATGTATATCAAGAATGTGGCCCAGAGAGAGGGATTATAAGAATCACAAAATGAATAGATTATATAACAGGAGCTAAATGAAGTTATCTGCTGCTATAAAAATGTAGTCTCCGAAATCCTAAGAATGTTCTACTCTGTCCTATGGGTTGCTATGAACCAGAATCAGTTAGATGGCAGTGGTTTGGTTTAGGGGATCATAGACGAAAGATGAAAGAACATAAATACATTAATAAGTCGTGAATCATCTTTTGAAAACTAAAAGTTTGTCAACAAGTACCAAAAACGTTTGGGGATGCACACTTACATAGTCAGGAAATATAATGACACTTTTAAATGAAAGATTCTAAACGTCATATTGCTTATCCTAAAAAGTACTTTGACTGATTTTCATTTTAAAAAGTACAAGTTAAATAACAGATTAATCATTAAGCTTGATTTTCTGCTTGCAAATTTTAATTAGACTTAAAATTTTTGTGAGGTATATGGAGACATAAAAGCCACAGCTGTAAGTTACTTTCTTACATGTGATTATGAATGCTATGTCCATTTTCAGTCAAATTTCTCTAATAGTGCACAATTTTCCTTTTTATTGAATATAATGAAACTATGAATCTTGCTAGAACTCACCCATAAGACATTTCATCCAATGCTAATTCAAAAGAAATTAATCTGCCTCATCTTGATGGGGCTTAATACAGCCGTCATTTTATTACACCAATTAATATATAAGTAATATAGAGTGTGAAGACATACTGAAAAATGTTCCTGGAATGTGTTTAATTTTGATTATTTTAAAATCGAATATTCCAAAGGGAAAAACAAGAACCTTGTATCCAAATGCTGTCTAGATGAATTTTGAAGAAATAGCATAAACAATATTAATGAGTCATCACATGCCCATGGGCAGGAGGGAGCTTTCTCCAAGGTGATAGTGGGGATGATCTGATAATGGGGATGGTCTATAAACTGCCACTGGAAGGGCATTGATCTCACTTTAATCTGACACATACCTAACGTTGGCTCACCTCAGCCACAGGCTGCCCTTAATGCTCTTGATTTCCTCAAATTTAAAGCAGGTTCCTATACTTCCACCACAGCACAAATCTTTATGACTGTTCGCTGACTAATTCACTTGCTAGATAAACAATCCCTCCCCTTCCTGGACCAATATTAGGATCCTTACCTACTGCTTTTCCAATTCCTGGCATAAATTTCCACTTATTAATAAAACAAATACTTATTGAATGCCAATTTATGAATCAGGCAACATTTTAGGAGGTAGGGAAAGAAAGGTGAGCACAATGAAAAATATTTTTTAAATTGCCATACAACCAACAATCATTGTCTTAAGTCAGTATACACTCAAAAGTGAAAGTGCAAACGTGTACACCAATAATTGCAGCACTTTTCAACATAGCCAAAAGATGGAAGCTCCTGAAATGTCTCACCAACATGTGGCACAGACATAGAATAAAACATTACACAACCCCAAAGAGCAATTGAGTTCTACTATAGGTCACATCATAGATGAGACTGGAAAACATTAAACTGATTGAAATAAATCAGTCATAAAAGGTCTACGATGGTTTATTGCTTATATGAAATAAACAAAAATATATAGGCACTATTAATTATTAATGGTTACAAAGTATAGGAGGGAGGGAGGAAGGATAAGTTCTAGGTTAGCTTAGGTTAGGTTTATGTTAATGATGGTGGAATGTTTTAGATGAAGACAGATCATGGTGGTACAACATGACAAATACAATCAATGTTACTGAATTGTAGCTGTGGAAGATGTATTGGCCAAATGTTTGGGTTTTGTATGTATATGTATATGTTTTCACTACCATCTTTAAAAGAGAGAATTTTAAATACTGTTTTTTAAAATAAAGGAGAGCCACTTAAGGTTTTAAAGTCAGATTTTCATCCTACAAAGCTTTCTCTGATTTCAATATGTAAAGTAGCCAGTTTGTGGCCAGTTTACCTTTGTCAAAGAAATTAGCTTCATAGTGTAGCTTTTGTTGTTATTGTTGTTTTTTAAAAAACCCAACTTTTTACTGAGGTTTAAGTGAATATTTATAGAGCAAAATATTTTTTCCATTCAATTTATACACATTTTGGTCCCCAACGTTTGACTGCAATGTCTATAAAGTAGCAGCACTCTTTCGACTTCCTCCCTGTATTCTCCAGCTCCATTGCAGAAATGATCATCTTTGGCAGGAAATGGCTGGCACATTCAAGTGCCCTATTTTATCTATGTGAATTGAAGCTTATGGCTCTCTGGAACCTCCTTGCTCTGGCCTAGTTTGTTCTTCCATCTACTATGTGCAACCCCCTAATGCTCCACCTAGCGAAGGAAGTGAAAGGAAAAAGTGTACAAATAGAACTTATTTTATATATTATTTAGGACTATATCCATGATTTCCTGCATAAGACATCAAAATAAACAGAAAAACATGGTAACAGTAAAATCACTTTTTAACATGATTCTAGTACAGTAATTATAAAACATAAAAACTGCCTTTAGAAGTTACAACTAATTATTTTAATTCACATATAAGCAGTTTATTATTTTTATTGACAGAATGTGTATCAATTCTTTACATTTTTAGTAAACAAAACTGTGTTAGCTGTAGATCACAAGTTGTTAGTCTTCTTACAATCCTGCCACATTCTTTATATACTGCAGGTTCTCAGATTTCCTCAATAAAGATTGAATAAGCATAGTGCAAGGATGCAAGCCTGACACATCTTTTCTGATTTGGGACCATGCAATTTGCTCTTGTTCTATTTGAATGACTGCCTCTAAGTCTATGTACAGGTTCTCCACAAGCACAATTCAGTGTTCTGGAATTTCCATTTTTTTGCAATTTTATTTTTAATCTGCTAAGCTCCACATGCCCTTGCATAGTCAAGAAAATGCAGAATCCTTTGGTGTATTATTTTTTTATAACTCTTAAAACATATTTTAAAGGATTAAGATCCAATGAATATTTCTATCAGTTTTACCAAATTGGAAAGTGGAAATAAACCTATAAGTTTTGATCTTTCAACAAAAGGTTAAATCGTATTAATAGGAATGTATCATTGGGATACAAATAATCCTACACTACTCCTCAGCCATTTCTGATAAGATTGTCTCATAAGAATATAAATAGTGATATTGAATTTACATCTAATTGGTTTCATGTGATTGAATGAGATAATTATATATTTACACTAAAAAATAGTTCTGGTGTAGCATTGTTTAAGCGCTCATGCCAAGTGAACTTAAAGGGTTTGAACCCACCTGCTATTCCATAGGAAAAAAATGTGGCAGTCAGGTTCCCTACAGAGTTACAGGCTTGGAAAGCTTGTAGGACAGTTCTACTCTAACCTACAGGGTCACTATGAATCAGCATTGATGCTGATAGTTTGGTTTGGTTTTATATTAAAAGCTAATTTATACACATTTTGGTCCCCAACGTTTGACTGCAATGTCTATAAAGTAGCTAAACCTAGGAATATAGGTTTATATTCCAAAATAGAAATATACCCTATTTTTAGGGTTTGGCTTTTCCCCCTTAAAATTAGTAAAACCTAATCAAATTAATTTGCATAATTATAACCCAAAGCAACCTTAATTTCCTGTTGTTTAAAACTTGAATGTATATGAAAAAGATCTAGGATTTTGTTATCGTGTGGCTTCTGATTAAGTAAGCCAGGGGTAGAGTCTGAGATTTTACATTTCTAGCAATTTCCCAAGTGATATCCTTCCTAATTTTGAACTATTTAATACATTTTAAGTAGCAAGATCCTACATTCGTAAGGTTATAAATTTAATATCTTTCCCCAATCACTGTATTAACAAATTCCAACTTCCACAATATTGTCATATATATTCAAATTTTACCTAAATCTTACAGACATTCATGTCACAACATACACAAGCTAGAATACTGGAGCAACAACTGTGAAATGGTACTTAATTTTCCTCAACAAGTGAAGTCATTATTAAATGGGACAATAATAATGACTGGTAATACATATACATAAATAAAATTAGGCTTAGGTTTCTAAAAGCCTGGTCATGTCCTTTTTGGCTTAAAAACAACAACAAATATCCTGCCATTGAGTTGATGTCGACTCAGAGGGACCGTGTAGGAAAGGTTAGAACTGTCCCTGTGGGCTTCCGAGACTGCCACTCTTTATAGGAGTAGAAAGCCTCTTCTTTCTCATTTGGAGCAGTTGGTGGGTTTGAACTACTGGCCTTGCAGATCACAGTCCAATG